CCCGCCTCAAACCGGTCCAGCAGAGGACGAACACCCGCCCTCGAGATGCCTGCAAACGCGCCCCCCATGGATATGGATGACCGTCATGCGCTTGTCGATGATGCAGGTGCGCCTCGACCTTGGACCCTGGACCCTTTCTTGGGAGGGAAAATTCAAAATTCAAAATTAGAGCTCAGCCCAGACGGCGCTGAGCAGAAAGAAGAGATTCAAAAGAACAAACCACGGGCACAGACGGGACTGAGAGACGGGCCTAACGTACTGCGTAGTAAGGTACGTGTGGACAAATAGCCGGCATGTGATTGCAGACTGCCTCTGATTGCAACGACAACAAAGCACATTGCGATGGCCTACGTTTCAATTGCTTGGGGTCTCCTTTGTCCACGCCCGTTCACTGCCACCACTGCTGCAATGCCGTTGTTGTTGTCGTTTCTGCTGGCTGCCGGTTCTTTCAACAGTCGCGGCCGTTTGGTTTGGCAAGCCCACCCCAATCGTTGTGGCAGCTCTTTCTCTTTCTTTCCTGCTCTGCTGGGCTGGCTCCTTCCCCAATTTGGGAAGATGCCAGTTGACCTGAGGCTAAATCACACAAAACAGGTGGATCCTTCTAATGAACGAAAAGCTTGTGGTTGGCCGGGCCCTTGTCAGTATCTGGCCCGGGCGCTCGCTAGCTGTGCTAGTGCTGCTAGTCCCCCGCTATGCCACAATTGGTACGTACACTATTCCCTCCTGAGGGGATAAACGTCCCGGGGGTCGTCCTTCCCGCGCGACGGTGTGCCCTTCCATTGGAGTCATTGGAGACGGGACCTGGCAGCAGGTGGACTGACGGCGCAAGGCAGTTGCGACATGTTGTTGTTCCTGCATTTGCTGGCTGAGGTGCGTGCTCTTGCCTTGCTGTGAGTGTTTGCTGTGGGCGGGTGCTGTGTGCAGGACGGGGACGGGACGGCAAGGGAAGGGAAGGGAAGCTGCTGCTGTGCCTGCCTTCCTTCCTTCTTGTCACTGGCTCCTGCCGCCAGCTGCGTCCACCACTTGCACTGCACTGCCTTCCCGTCATTAATTCAGACGAACACCATCGATTTGTGCATCTCCAGTTTTTCTCTCTTGCAAAATTGCTTCAATTCCTCAGCAGCCTCGCTCACCTGAAAACGACATCAAACTTCTGATTACCACCGTCTTCCTGCCCAGGCCCCCACGCCATGGCCCCCAAGTGTCATTTCACCCTTCGCACCCGCCCAGCGCCCAGCGCAATGAATTTGCGTACCCATCCACCACTCATTGTGAGACGCCGACATCTTGGAGTCCCGTCCGACTCCCCCTCCACCCTCCCCTCTCCTCCCGAGAGCCCAATGTCACCAGAATCCTACCTTACCACCCACTGTCCAACCTCCGAACAATGAATCACCAGCCTCCGCCATCCACGCCCGCTCTCACCTCCGAACCGACGCTCGGACCTGTTGAGGTTGGAATGCGCGATATCCGATGCCACCCAAGGCCTTTGGGATGTGTTCGTGCGCCTTGGAAACACTCCAATAGCGTTCGAGAAGCTTTCAACCATTGCCTCGTCGCATCACACGTGCCCTGGCCGCAGAGGGTGGCCCAACGTCGCACGCTACTTCTTGCTGGCTGGCTGGATGGCTGCTGAGTGTGTGTTTTGTCGGCCTTTTGCCAGTCGTCGACTGCCTCCCCGGCTCTATGCGGCGACATTCTTATCAGCGCCGCGTCGCATCGTTTTCGCGTTCGCGCAATCGCCCTTTTACAATAGCCCCATCGACCTGATACCTCGACAGACGCCTCCTCCAGGATTCCTGTCCCGGGAAGATGGAACATGCGGCCAGTGCACCACAAAGTTGAAACATTCCTTCGCCTTCGATCTGTTTTGGCAATGGGGGGACGCGCCCAAACGAGGAGGGAGAGCTACGGGCGGGGAAAGATGGGTGCTCCCTTCGTTCGTCTCTGTCCGCCGCCGCCGCCGGCTCCGATCTTCTTTGGGGCAGGCAGACCATGGCTCGCCTCCGACCGGAGCGCCGAAATGACGCTGTCGCCGCATCCACCCCGCCATCACCGATCGATCTGTGGCTCCATGGGTTCACGGCCTTCAAATCTCGCACGCTGTTCCACCCTATCCGTACCTAAGGTACCATGCGCTCTCGGACGTTCACCCCGCCCCCTTTTACGCCGACGGAGAGCTTTCATCGCAGCTTGACACCAGCGCCAGCAGGCATTCCCTGCCTTTGCCGCAACACTAACCATTACCACCATCTTCGAATGAGGTCTGGTAACCTGCGACCGCTGATTGCGCTGTCCCGTACCGTCGAACGGCATTTCCGATTAGTCTGGCAGGCCCCGATCAGGCGGAAGATAATCTGCAAATCTGACAGTGTACTTTCTGTTGCCATTGACAACGCTTCAATAGACTGACTGCCAATGCTCGGTTCGTACCGCCCACGTGGCGCTGGCGTGGCGCGAAATCTCCTGCCATGCCACGGATACCTTCACGATAATCTGCCACAATTCCCCCATCGGGCCTGATCAACGCCCGCCGTCCGCAAGACTATGGACTTTGTCGAACCATTCATTCATCGCGCCTCCGAGGTGTTCGGGTGATACGACGCCTCGCTAACCCACATCATCGGATTTTTCTCTTTTTCACACGGATGGTTTGCCGTTCGATCCGCTTGCTCGTCATCTCATTTCTCCTCCATCGTGCAGCATCTCGTGCGACTTTGCAGGTATCATTAAAACCTCGCCTAAGTGTGAACCACCTCGGCTACCAAAACTTCCGCTAGACGACCGAACCACATCGCGGGCTGTGAACGGGCCAGTGTACGTGGGCATTCGTCATCACCCTTTTCTCATATTCTGCCAAGACGACTGTGGAAGGCTTCCCTAAGTTCTTGCGGCGTAGCGTGTAGTTGCCGCCTGTTTATTTTGGCATTTGACTTTCGGCCGACTCAGATGATGGGCGCGGCACTCTGATCCAATCGCATCCCCGTGATTCAACGTCCATCTTGCATGCTGGTAATTACACGTTTATCTTGCAGCATCTCATACCAGCAGTGGCACGTGGTCGTTTATATTACCTTGTCACTGCTGTACATCAACGTGAAGCATCTTAGTCTCAGTCGCCCGCTCTTGACAGGCTCCCTAGCATAGCGGCTAGGCATGCTCAGCATTATGAAATCGGCCTTGTCCAACAGCTCTACCCCACCACTCCTGCACGTGTTGACATTATTGTCGACGGCTCGGTCTCGTTCTCCAGAGCATGGTTATCGTAGAGAACAAGATGAGGAGGCCCCCGCGGTACCACGCAAGGTGAGGCACGAAGAGAATGCCGGCTTTTGTAGTATCTCGCGTTGAGGTGTATGCTGCCTTCTCACTGGATCACACAGTCAGGTAGGCTCTTGAGATATTACGGTACGGAGCGACTATGTCTTATCAAACCGGGACAGCGTTGTTTGGAATAAAGCTTGTCATCTTTTGAGAATGACTTGAACTAGGCTGACGGCTAGACGCAGGATGGCGCCCCAGCATTGATCTTGAGAGTGCACGTAGGAGCTCTTGCGTCTAATTACATGCTCCTACTATGCTTCAGCGGTTTCGGTTGGGACACGAGATAATCATATACCACATAAGCTTGTGAGAGTCTTTATAGTCACCTATTCGTGACCATCCTTTTCTTTCAAATAGTCAATCACGATATGAGACATCAATTGCATTGCAGTCATGAAGATCTATTATACACTAAATCTTTCCTATTGCCTATGGTAATAATAGCCGTGATCTACAGATATACATGGCGCGGTCGGATTCCTATTCCCAGCGCAAAGACCAAGACACAGAGTAGTTTTGCTACCGCAACGGCCCAGAACGCGAGGTCCCTAACTCTCAAGTAAAGGGAGAGAGTCAGAGGCCCCGCGATCCGAACCGTAAATTGCAGAAGCGAAAGAGGAAAAAAAAGAAGAAGCAGAGCTTCAGGTCCCAAAAATTTGCGCAAGGATGCGTGACACTCACCAAAGGGGGCCAGGCAACCTTCAAGATATAGCTGCTGACCCGAGTCGAACCAATGTCCTGTTGCATCTGTAAGAAAGACAAAAGAAACGAAAAGCAAAAAAAAAAAACGAAACAAAACAGTAAGGAAAGACAGCAAGAAAAGACAGCAAGAAAAGACAGAAGAAGAAAACAGGAAAGGAAAACAGAACAGCAAAGACAGTGATGCAATAGGATATTGGTTCGGCCCAGGACAGTAGGCATATCTCGAAGGTTGCGTAGCTCACTTCAGTGGTGTCAGGCTATGCTGCGTATGAAGAAAGGAGAGAGATTTCGATTTAGTCTTGATGCTCGTGGAGTTTTATATAGATATCAAGGGGGAGGGAGTATGAGCCGGGAACGGTTTCGGTGACAGAAACATGAACCTGTACAGACCCTTTTGCCTTCCATTTCCATTTTGGATTGATGGGTCTATACCGTAAAGGTTGTAGCTTCTAATGCATCCAGTCCTGTTACCACCCACAAGGTGAGCAAAAGACCTCAAAGGTCATCGGGAAGCTACCTTTCAATACTGCACTTGTTTCAAAAACCACAAAGGTTACCTCGAAAAAGGAAGTGGTGACTTGGCTTTATGTTGTTGCTAGACCAATATGAACCTTGCTAATACCAAATACCTGTGTGTCCGCAAAACAACTCTTACTTAGCTCGAGACATAACTCTTCTGAACCACGGAAAAAATGAAGTGTATTCATTCATATACACAACAAGGTTGCGACACAAGGTACGAAACGGCCAAACCCCATTCCCTCCTGCAAGAAGCCAACACGCCGATACATCATGCATTGCGACGGAAGAAAAGACGATAGTATCGTGCCGTTCCGATTCAGAAAAACGAAAGGCTGTCGTATTTGAGAGGCGAACTGTCGGCTGCTGGACGAATAACCAGTTGTGGTCACAATTGGGCCGCAGTCGCGAGCAATCAGCATACGTGCATGCCTAATGTAGCTGCCTGGCAGCGTTTAAGCCCTTACATCGCGGGCATGCCTTCACAAATGTTAACAACTTTGCGGCGTTTTGAAGGAGCTGCAACAACGTACTGTCTGGAGGCAAGTTTGGATTTGTCGGCCTCGATCGCCCAAGTGTTGTCCTGAATCGCCTGAGCGTCTTTGTCGACCCACGCGGAACCAGGGACAGGAACTCCCGGAGTTGCGGGTGCGCCGTTATTCCTGTAGGGGTGAATACCGGCGGAGGCGAAGCCGGCGCATGCAGTGACCGCCATGACGAGAGTGGTGAAACGCATTCTGTATGGTAGAACGTTGATAATCGAGTTGAGCGTTTGTTGTTGGTCGTTCGGTCTATGGCTAGAGGAGTTGCGAGAGAAAGGTGGAGGGAATGGGAAAGATCGGAGGTAGGTGCGCCAGAGCCTTTTTTTAACCAAAGACACGTAATTAGTAAGGTTTATCATATGCGGCTTCCCGCCATAAAACGCCCTTCATAGATGTCTAGAATCGCTTAAAGCTTTGACATGACACCACCGCCAATCTCAACCTCGACGGCCAGTGGGACATTACCCAGAGCCCTTTCGCCCTTGCTCCCCTCCATCAAGACATTGTATGGCTTTTCATCGGCCTTGATTTGCCTCCACTTCCACAATTTGGGCGGAATCTGGTCCTGTCCCTTCCCCTCGACCGCGTCTACCACCCAGTTGCCAATGTTAGGAAGGTACTTGAAAGCGTGTCCACTGCCGCCCGTCGCCACCATCAGTGACTCGTCCGTGCCAGGCACGTGGTCGATGACAAAGTGGTTATCGTAGCTATCCGTGTACCAGCAGATCCTCGAGAACGTAATGTCGATGCCCGCTTCGCCCAGCTCCGGAAGGTTTTCCGCCAGAAAGGCTCGGATGACCTTGAGAGCCTGCTGTGGCACCGTCTTGATCCGCTCGTCCCCGCTGCCTGCGGCAGACGACCACCGCGTGACGGGCACGCTGCGCTCCTTGCCGTCGCCCTGGACGACAGGGTTGGTGTACTTTGTCCCGCGGTACCCGACCTTGAGCCATCCGTTCTCGTCGCGCGGGAAGCCGTACAGCCCGCCCTCGGCGCCGTCGCGGATCTTGTAGGTGAAGGTGGGGAAGTTCTCGGGCGCGAAGCGGTCGAAGAGGGGCGATTCGCGGGGGATCTTGAGGAGCACGACGGACCCGGCTGTTGTCTCGCAGAGGCCGTCCATGGAGGGCAGCAGGGACGGGGTCCAGCCGCCGCAGGCGAGGATGGTTAGCTTTGCGGCGTGCGTCTTGCCGTCGCGGGTCTTGATGCCTGCGACCTTGTTGTCTGCATAGACCAGAGACTCCAGCGCGCCGGCCTCGGGGTCGAGGATGAAGTTGACCCCCTGAGAGGCGGCCTTGTGGAGGGCAAAACGGCAGGCTTTGTCGGCTACGGCCATGCCTCCGGTGGTGTCAAGGACGCCGGCTGCCTTCATGCCACGTTTGAGGCGGCGGAAGGGGTCCATGCCGAAGGCGAAGCCCTTTTCTTCGGCAATCTTTTGGTGGGCGGGGGAGATTGTGATGAGTTGGGTGTTTTTGTGACCTGCTGCTTCCATGTTGTCGACGGTGTCTTGCTCGAATTGGGGCAGGGATGCCGAGTCTGAAGCGGAGAGGTTGCCATTGTTGACGAACACTCGGTCTGTGGTTTTGAGGCCGGGTGGGAGAGTCTTTCCCGTGGCTAACTCTTCGTTCCACGCGTTCCAGCCCTCAAGAGCTTCAATTGTAAGGCCTTGGTACTCTGTTTGAGATCCGTATGCTGAGCGGATGATTTTATTCATATCTGAACGGCTGTTAGTTGATGGTTTAGAACACCGGATATATGCACTTGCCTGCTGAAGCGCCATCGCACCCGTTGAAATAGGAGTACAGTGACTTGTGGTATGGCTGTTTATCAAAGACTGTCACGTTTGTATAGCCGCGGCGCGAGAGGTGCACTGCGGTGCTCAGACCGAAGATGCCTGCGCCGACGATGATGATGGCATCATCTTTGTTTGGTGTGGGCGCCATGATGTTTACGGCCAGCGTCTATTCGTGGGGCGGGACTAGTATTATGAAGATAAAAAGTGCTCAACTTCCTCCAAAGCTCATGCACAGGAGTCTTGTAACCGAACTCAGTCGAGAGGAGCGTGCGTGGATAAGCAGCAACTACTGAGACAAATGGTCTTCAATGAGCTTGGCTTAACAACAACCTAGCCTGCTGATGGCAGCGAGAAGAGACCGAATATCCGGACCTGCGTCCAATCAAGCACTTCGGATTCTAATCAGGCCCATTGACGCGGTTGCAACGCGTATGGCACGATATTTCGGGTTCCGCCGTGGTCGGCCGGTCGAGGCTCGCAACGGACAAGGGCAACAAAAATGCGGGGGAGGCGGGGGATTTGTTGCGGATTGAATCTCCAACGAGGGTTTGTTAGTGAAGATGTTAATGAGTCAAATAATCTCCGACTGAGACTATCAGAGCGTGTTCTCGGGAGGTAGCGAGGTGAATGTAAAGAGAAACAGAGAAGGCAGAATGAGACAACCTCGATATGATAAACCCTTCAGACAATCCCTACATGCAATGGCCCGGCGAGTGGAGTTCCCTCCGCTTCGTTATCTGTCCGGCGTCACTATCAGAGATACTTCACCCTCTAACGCACACTACCGCGTTGTTGCCGGAGCCCAACCCATGTCGTTGCCTCCCCGCTAACGCCGTCGAGGTCCGGTCCCGGCAGCTGATAAACTGCACCCCGCCCCTCATTTCATCGCGGCCTTGGGCCCCCCTGCTCGGATTGTCCCGGATAAGGGTCCAGGGGGCTTCTGGTCGGCGCACCCAGTCAACTGGTGCCCAGCGCGTGTTACTCAAGTGAAATATGGCGAGGAGAAGAGAGCACGGTTCACTTTGAGGGGAAGATTCCTATCTCCCAAGAGGCTTGGCTCGCGTGAGGGCCAACGCCAACGTCCAAAGGGGGTTGAGCAGAATGGAAGTATCCGCGCAAGCACGTTTTCCCTGCTCTACCCCAGATTTTCCAGCATGCAACTGCGAGGACCGACGAACCTGACAGCCGGGTCTCTCTTCTCCTTGGTTGGGACGAAAAGCAGCGTTCTGGATGGGGAGCTGGGGCCCGTCTTTGTTGCTTTAGTCTTGGCTTGCTGATAACGTCCGCCTGACCGATAGACACGACAGAACATGTCGTTGATTTGTCGATCTGAGATATACATATCCTTCCTTCCTCTTCCATCTTTTGACGATATACCCCGGTGATTGGTTGCGACTCCATGATTGTATCTCAGAGTTGTATCTGTGCTCCTGTCTCTCTGTTCAATCCCAAAAAAACAAACGCACGAGCGAGTTTAGTCGTGACCGCAAGTGTCACCGTATCCATCAAGATGGCCATCAAAGAGGTCTTCACTGAGTCGACTTTCGCCAAGTACATCAAGGCAATCCGAGAGTCCCCTAGAGAGCTCATCGCGAACCGTAACCTGCTTCTAACAGCTGCCCTCTATGCCACGAGTGGCATTCCCATCAGTAAGTCACCTTCAACATCCCTCATCCCACCGGGGACCACTCTAACGTAACGGACAGCATGGGACCAAGGCTCATCATCCGTCGTACCCTCACTTCCGGGCTTCCAACAAGACTTTGGCATCACCTCAGCCACAAACCCTACACAAGTCTCCAACTTCATCTCCTTCGTCTACATCGGAGCCGGCATAGGCGCCGGCCTCTCCTTCTTCCTCAATGACCGCATCGGACGTATGTGGTCATACCGTCTATACATGAGCATCTGGATCCTTGGACAAATCATCGCCTCGGTCTCCTTCGGTCATCTCGGCGCCCTCTACACGGCGCGCATAGTTTCTGGCCTGGGCATCGGTGCCTTGACGGTTACAGGACCCGTCAGCATTGTCGAGATCGCCCCCTCAGAGATCCGCGGCCTACTAGCCGTCTGGTTCAGCGTGGCCATGCTGCTCTCCCTGACAGTCTCCGTCTTCATCGTCTACGCAAGCTTTGTCCACGTCGCCGTCGGCCGAATGCAGTACCAGCTCGTCTTCTTCGCCCCGACAATCGCCATGGCGATCCTGATCGCACTCAGTTTCTTCCTGTACGAGAGCCCTCGCTGGTTGTTCATTGCCAGACGCGACGATGAGGGAATCAGCAACTTGATCACCCTGCGAGGCCTCCCCGCCAGCCACCCCCGTGTCGCTCACGAGATTGAAGACATCAAGATCCAGATCGCGAAGGAGGAACAGAAGTTTGGACGCAACCCTGGTGTGTTGGTTCTGATGAAGGACGCTTTCCTCGTGCCCACGAACCTGCGACGCGTTCAGCAGTGTGTGCTGTCGTACGCCCTCGCGCAGTTGTCTGGCGCAAACAGTGTCACTTCCTACCTCGTCCCCATCCTTGCCATGGTGGGCGTCAGTGGAGGTACCTCGCGAAGCTTATTCCTCAGCGGCATGTACAGCATGGCCAAGTTCTTCTTCACTCTGATTGCAAGCTTCTTCTTCATAGACGCTCTCGGCCGGCGCCGCAGCTTGTTCACTGGAATTTCCATCCAGATGATCTCTGATCTGTACCTTGGTGTTTTCATTAAGTATCGTCAAGAAGGAACGGTTGCTCCTGGTTCAAGCGAGGCGGCTATTGCAGCCATCTTCATCCATGGCTTCGGCTATGCCGTTGGTAAGGCATTCCCAGCGTAACGTAACAGTCATTTTCTAACATTTTGCAGGTCTGCTTGTTCTACCCTACGTTTTCGGCGCTGAACTATGGCCCAATCACCTCCGCTCTTTCGGCAGCGCCTTCTCCCAACTCTTCCACTGGCTGTTCTTCTTCGGCGTCAACAAGGGCATGCCTTCGTTGCTCAGCCAGACGCACAACTGGGGTGCCTTTATCTTCTTCGCGGGATGGTGCTTCCTCTCACTGGTTTATGTCTACTGTGTTGTCCCCGAAACGTCTCAGCAGAGCTTGGAGCAGTTGGATGAGCTGTTCAAGGGCCCATGGTGGAATGTCAACCGCAGGGCCAAGCAGATGAAATTGCAAGCCCAGACAGCCGTCCTTGATGCCCAAGAGTCCATGTTAGTATTCCACTCTCCAGATTAAGAACGCAAGCTAATCGGTATAACTCAGCAGCGAGTCTGATTCCAACGTGGCGAAGGATAAGGCACAAGCCGTCGCCCAGAAGGTCTAGATCCGGATAAGCTCTGCTAGGTTTCCGGCCATTTATATTCGTAATCTGGGCCTACGAAAGGCTTCTGTATGGACT